TTTTGTTATGTCTGTGTCTGTGTAATTTGCAAATTTCCCCCCCAAAATGGACTTCTAAGTACAGTATACATATAAGTTTTGACTCCCTGCAGAAAACCACAACTGTACCAAAAGCAGAATACCACAGAATTCTTATTAAAGACTTCCTTATTCTATTACGGTACAGGCCTACTATTTTACAAAAGAATAAGAGTTTCATCACTAACTTACAGCAAGTTTTAATAAATATAAATTTGTTGTCACAACACTGGAACAGTGGGTAAAAACGATGCTATCTATTTTGGTTGGTGAATTGTATTACTTTTTGATGGTGTTTAAAAATGATATTTTTAAAGGAACGCAAAAACGGCTTGGTGGACATGAGATCCCACCCCTGCCCCAGGTCCAAAACATTTAATGCTATATACTCCTTTGTCAATGGAACACTGAATGCCAACAGTAACTACACAGTAGTTGTATCTGCTTTAAATCTACATTCAGATTAAAAAGTACAAGAATGGCAACAGAGTCTATTATCAACATTATTCCATTTGTTAAGTATCATTTACCTCTTGGGACAGCTAGGGATGAGTTTTGAAAATTATGATTGATTATTTCCCCCCCCACACACACACACACAATTAGTTCATGCACACTAATCTAGGCAGTTTACAGACAGCTAAAACCAATATAAAAATACAACCAGCAATAAATTAATACAGAAATAGCAGTAAAATAATATATATTTTATTATGCACAAAGTGAAAATTTTAAAAGGCAAATATTTGTGAAAGATTACATGCATTTTTTCAAGAAAAGAAATAACTACTTAATACAGCAATGAGGTTCTTGTGCTCAGAACACTTTATATAAACCAGTATAACACTCACTATCTGAATTTTTGTTCTTTTGATTACTGACAAGTTGGCAGCAGAATATCAACACTGTGCAAATGGAAGCCTGCACTTCTGCAGAAAGTTTTATTTCTAAAATTTCATCTTTCCTTGCCAATACGATATGTACAAGTTTTCAAGTGCTCTCCTGAAGGGAAACAAAACTGTGCACTAAGAATTAAATAGTGCTGAAATAAATGGCTTGAAAATATTTCTCTTTGCCTGGATCAAGCTTGTTATCTCTCCCCCCCCCCTTAAACACTGCCAACTAGCTGGAGATAAAAACATCCTAAGATAAGGAAGCCACTTTAAGCAGAAATTCATTTCTTCAAGCCTCTCTCTATGCATTTCCACAATAGCATCTGGCTCCTTCCGTTTTAGGATTTTATCTTCCTGAGTAGTTAAAATAGTGTTCATCAAGATAGTGTTTTAGACTTAGACTGTTTTAGACTTAGCCCATGGCATGAAGCTCAGTCTAAAATCAGAAATCTGGCAGCTGCAACAGTCAGATTTCTGCAATATTTCAACAACTCAGAAAGTGACAAGGAAGGATTCAAACAACAGTCAAGCTGTTAAACTGCTGTACTGCAGCCAAAACTGTGCTCACGACCTAGGGTTCAATCCGAGGTAGCCGACTCAAGGTTGACTCAATCTTCTATCCTTCTGAGGTCGGTAAAATGAGTACCCAGCTTGTGGGGGGGGGGATGTGTAGCTTGGATAATTAACTTGTAAACCGCCCAGAGACTGCTTGAAGTGCTGTGGAGTGGTATATAAGCAGCATGCTTTGCTTTTGCAAATAGGCAAAATAACTGGCAACAGATAATGAGATATTAAATAGGCAAAAAGAGAGGTTACCTACCTATAGCCATGGTTCTTCTAGTGGTCCTCTGTGAATCTACACAATTGGGTTGTTCTGCACCTGCGCTGAACCTCTCGGAAGTTTCTAGAGCTAAAAGACACATGACTGGTGGGACATTCCCACATGGAGCGCATGCTCCGCCCATCCTTGTTCCCCTCAGTTCCTGACAAGTGTCCGTCGGGTAAAAGAGCTATTTAAGATAAAACGTGACGGACAAAGGTGAGGATGGGCAGGATGTATGGATTCACAGAGGACCACTAGAAGAACCATGGTTACAGGTAGATAACCTCTCTTCTTCGCGGCCTCTGTGAATGCACATAATTGAGCAACTAGCAAGCTCATTTACCAGATGGTGGGACATCACGGTAGAAAGGATGCCAAGACAGCTCCGCCAAAACCAGCATCACTCCATGCTCTGACATCCAAACGGTAATGCCTGATAAGGGTCGATGGAGTAGACCATGTGGCCACATGGCAAATGTGAGGGAGTTCAATCCCACACTGGAAGGCAGTAGATATTGACAGCGCTCTAGTGGGATGTGCATTCAAATGATCAGGAGGTGGTTTGCCTGATAGTTCATATGACAAAGAAATAGTTTGGACTATCCATCTGGAAATGGATTGTGATGAGGCTGGTCTTTGTGAGGACCATGAAAACATCAAAAAAGTCTGTGTGATTTCCTGAAAGGCTTGGTCCTGTCAATGTAGAAGGCAAGAGAGCGTCTTACATCAAGTGAATGGAGCATGTACTCGAGAGATGTTGATGGTGACAGAAAGAGTGTTGGTAGGATAATTGGTTGATTAAAGTGAAATTCAGATACGACTTTAGGTAAGAAGGAAACATCGAAATACAATGTGACTTTATCAGAATGGAACTGGAGGAAGGGTGGATCGGAACAGAGGGCAGCAAGTTCGCTAGCTCGTTTAGTGGATGTTATTGCTATAAGAAAGGAAGTTTTCATTGATAATAATTTGAGATTGCATGTAGCCATAGGTTCAAAGGATGGATGCATAAGTGTATTAAAGACAAATTGTAGAGATCATTGAGAGATAATACATTGGCATGGAGAACGAATATTGTTGAGTTCTTTAAGAAGCCTTACAGTTGGGTGAGAAAAGAGTTTAGCTGATTTAGAGTTGGGAGTTTGATGAGCTACAATAGCAGAGGTATAGACTCTCAAAGTGGAGTAGGACAGTCCAAAAGTGAATAGATGGAAGACAAAGGTAAGTAAAGTTTTCAAGGAAATTGGTGTTGTAGGTAAGTTATGAGAGTCAGTAAAGGAGAGGAATGCTTTCCCTTTACAGTGGTCCTTTGACTTACAGACTTTTTGAGTTACAGACTTCTCTGGCCGCAAAATTTAGATTTGACTTGAAGACCAGAAAAAAACCAAAATGGAACAAAAATGGTCTGTTACGGGATTAATCGGTTTTCAATGCACTGTAGCTCAATGGAGACTTGACCTACAGACTTTTTGACCTGCAGCCACCATTCCAATATGGATTAATTCTGTAAGTCAAGGGTCCACTGTACTGCCTGGACTGTATTTTCCCTGCCTTCCCTGAACCTTTCTTGACCTAAGGAAAAAAAAACAAAATATCCCCGTCTAGTGGTTGAAGGAGGAGTAGCAGCTTCCCATTAATTTCTATGGACGGAAAAGAGCAGATACGGATCAAATGGTTTTCAATGCATTCCTATGGGAAATGCAGATTTGACCTGAGAACTTTTTGACTTGAGAACTGCCTTCCAATACGGATTAAGTTCTCAAGTCAAGACCCCACTGTATTCCGATATAGTAGCTCGGTCTAGGGCTTTCGAGCTTGATCAAGCACGTCCTTTATGCTGGGAGTATCCCCCAGACTGTCAGATTCAGAGATGGTATGTCTGAGTCATAGATCATCCCATTGTCCTATGTGAGAAGATTGGGGATCAGAGACAGCCTGAATGAGTCGGCTGACATTGACCTGAGGTGGGTGAACCATGGTTGCCTCAGCTACCACGGGGTGAGAAAGATTGCATTATATTGGAACTGTTGGAGTCGAATGATGGTCCTTTGTATGAGTGGTATGGGAGGAAATAGATAGAGTAGGTCCTGGTCCCAGTCTATCATGACTGCGTCTCTGATCGAGTTCTTGTTGACACCAGCTCGAGAACAGTAATGTTGGCCTTTGGCATTTGCTCGAGAAGCAAAGATGTGTCTCGATACTTGGCGGAACGCCTCCTCCCACCCATACCACTCGATCCAGTCAGGAGCGGTGACTGAGGAGCCTATCGACGAGCGAGGTCCAGAAAGAAAAAACAAGACACCAGGCCTTCTCAGCAGTGGCTCCTTCTGTTTGGAACTCCCCTCTGAGATCGGTTTGGCCCCCTCACTGAGCATTTTTAAAAAGCAACTTAAGACCTGGTTATTCAGACAGGCCTTCCCTCCAGGCACCCCTTAATTTTCTTCTTCCCATCTTGAACTACAGTGGTCGCCGAGCGAGGTCCAGAAAGAAAAAACAAGACACCAGGCCTTCTCAGCAGTGGCTCCTTCTGTTTGGAACTCCCCTCTGAGATCGGTTTGGCCCCCTCACTGAGCATTTTTAAAAAGCAACTTAAGACCTGGTTATTCAGACAGGCCTTCCCTCCAGGCACCCCTTAATTTTCTTCTTCCCATCTTGAACTACAGTGGACCCTCGACTTACAGACTTTTCGAGTTACAGACTTCTCTGGCTGAAAAATTTAGGTTCGACTTGCAGCCGGAGAATCGACCTCCAGACCAGAAAAAAAACCAAAACAGAACAAAAACGGCCGGTTACGGATTAATTGGTTTTCAATGCATTGTAGGTCAATGGAGACTCGACCCACAGACTTTTTGACCTGCAGCCACCGTTCCAATATGGATTAATTCCATAAGTAGAGGGTCCACTGTATTGTTTTCATTGTATATTGTTGTAAAACTGTTAGTATATATTAATTGTTTTATCTTGTCTGTTGTGAGCCGCCCAGAGTAGACAATGTTTAGATGGGCAGCATATAAGTGCAATAAATAAATAAAATAAATAAACAGTCACACAAGAGATAGAAGTTGTTGTTGTTTGGGGACCATTCATGTGTCCTCGATGTCAGGTGACTGAGGTAGTCTTCTAGGGAGCTCTCTTCTGTGGCTGTGTGGACTGCTATTGGGAAGATGTGATGTGGGTACCACCATTCCCAGAGCTCAATGGTCAGGTATAGGAGGGATAGAGAATGTGTGCCTCCTTGTTTGTTTATGTAGTAAAGGGCTGTCGTATTGTCCGTAAGGAGTCGGACTGCGTGTCCTGCGATAAGTGGTAGCAAAGCGTGGAAAGCCCTTATAATTGCTAAAAGTTCGAGATGATTGATGTGTAATGTTTTTTCTTGATTTGTCCATAGGCCACGAATCTTGTGATGCAGACAGTGTGCTCCCCAACCAGATGGGCTGGAATCAGTGATAACTTGTATCATTGTTTGAAGAGGCAAAAAGGGTTGTCCGACAAGGAGATTCAGGTGAAATGTCCACCAAGTAAGTTGATGTGTGAGTTCGGATGTTACTGTTAGATGCATAGATGGGTGATCCATCATGGGGTTGAATAGGGACAGGTACAAAAATTGAAGTAATCTCATTCTGAGTCGAGCATGTTGTATAACTGAAGTTGTCGAGGCCATGAGTCTGAGAAGAAGCTGAGAATCAAAGTGAGCTCCGATGTAGGTGGCATCTTGAGAAGGTACCAGATGTGATTTGATGAGATTCACCTTGAGGCCGAGATCTTGACGTGTGTCAAGAGTGAGATGGGTAACTCTGTTGGCATCATGATATGTCGAGACTATCAGCCAGTCATCTATGTAAGGAAATTTGTTGATACCTTGAAGTCAAAGGTGACTGGTGCCATGCATTTTATTTATTTATTTATTTTGTAAAGGTTCTCGGTGCTGCAGAAAGCCCGAATGGGAGAAAGCAAGACTGATATGTGATGTCATCTAACTGGAACCGAAGAAATTTGTGGTGATCTGGATGAATAGAGATGTGAAAGTAGGCATCTTGGAGATCAATGATGACAAACCAATCTCCCTGTGAAAGCAGAGGAATGATAGTGTCTAAAGACAACATTCTGAAGTGTTGAGGTCAAATGAATTTATTGAGATTCCTGAGATCGAGGATGGGACGGAGTCCTCCATCCTTCTTAGGTACTGTAAAATATCTGGAGTAGAACCCATCATGCAAGTCAGATGAAGGGACTGTCGTTATGGCTTGTTTCTGAAGAAGACAAACTTCTTCTTGAAGAATTGTAGCATATGGGGTATTTTTGATTTTTCCAGTTGATGGAGAAATTTTAAATTCAATGAAGTAACCATGTTTAATGATAGAGAGGGCCCATTGATCATTAGTTATTGACTGTCGTGCATGAAAGAATGGAGATAGTCTCATTTGGAACCGAGTTGGATAATGGAAAGAAGGTGAAGGGGGTTTCTGGGTATTGCTTACCCTTCTTTTGAGGGTGGCGAAAAGGTTGGTAGCACTGTTGTTGCTGGTTCCGAAAGGCCGGCGGTGCTGAGGTGGAAGGCCCCTGAAACGGTCTTTTGGATGATTGGGGTTTGTATTGTCAATATGGCTGAAATTGTTGGCATGACTGTTGATAGAATCAGTACAGTGGGGTCTTGACTTGAGATTGTTGATAGAATCAGTATTGTGGCTGTTGATATTTGTAGGTTTGTTGAGTTGAGTAGGATGGGGCAGTTTTACGGATTTTCTGAAGATTTTCCATTTCTCCATCTGTTTTTGGTTGAATAGTCCGGCTCCATCAAATGGCAGATCTTCTATTCTGGATCTGATATTGTCTGTCAGTCCAGGGGATCAAAGCCATGCATGATGTCGTAGGGCAATAGAGGTGGCCATAGCCTTAGATGCAGCATCTGCAGTATGGCAAGATGCAATCCTTTGTTGCTTAGCAAGTGTGGAAACTTCAGTATGGATACTGATGGCTTCTGATTCAGGAGCTGCTTCAAGTACAGGTAGACTTTTGTTCCATAGTTGTCTATGGTACACTCCTATTGCAACTTAGTAGTTTGCCACTTGCATTATGAACAAAGTAAGGGCATAAAGTCTTCTGCCAAGTATATCTAATTTACTTGGGAGGAGGAGGGAGATAGGTATCGAGGTCTCAATACCGATACTTGTGTGGGAAGAGGCTGTGCCATAGGAGCCAGAAGTATGGAATGTCTGTCTGTATCGGTAAGCGGAGGAGGGGGACCTTTATAAGTAGTAGTGACCTGCAATGATGTTTGGGAAAGGTTCTTGGAGGAATATTTGGAACATTTAGATTGGGAGTGTTGCATAATTGGTTGAGGACATTTTAAAGTTGGTTTAGATGGGAGAGCTGAATGAGTAGGTATGGAGTGCTGAGATCGGTGTCGATGTTGAGGAGGAGATGGAGAGAGTGACGGTGAATATCAAGGGGTGTGTGGTAAAATATATCAGACTCATTTGAGTTCCTCATAATATAGATGGTCTTGACGATCTTCAATGATACAAGGGTTGTATTGGTAATCTCTCTTGTTTCATCTCGAAATTGGTATCGAGATGATTGAGAGTAATAGTAGTACTCTCGATGTGGAGGGTCGTACTGCGGAGGCAACAGGTGCTTCTGTTTCTCTCGATGCTTTCTTGGAGAGTGATGAGGTGAGTCAGAGCCAGAAAGCTCAATTGGAATTCCCTGCCCCGATGATGCAGGGCTTGAATGAGCCGAGGCCTGGCTGGAATGAACATCAGCTGGGGAAAGGTCAACACTCGGCGACAGTCTACCAGTAGAGACTGGAGCTTGGGCTGGAGCTAGAGATGGGTCATCTCTGTCAGATATAGAGCCTGGAGCCTCTCTGGGCGATTCTTCTAGAATGGGAGATGGAAGAGTCAGTTGTGGTGGATCAAGCTGAGTCGATTTTGAGTTTTTTTGTTTCAATTTTTTGATGTCGTTTTGTCTTTCTTCTTTTTTGAAGAATCTAGAGATCGAGGCGAAGTCTTTGACTTCGATGTAGACTTCGACTTCTCCTTAGGATGGGGAGAAGGAGTCACAGAGCTGGAAGCAGGCATGGATGGATTTTGCCACTCTATTTGAGGGTCTGGAGATTGAGCAGACTCCATGGAGGCCATAGATGGGTTGAGAGATTTCTCCCAAAGGTAAGACTTCAATCTTTGGAGGATAAGTTTAAAGGCTGGTTTAATTAGCCTCTTACACGCAAAACAGGAATGGGTAGGATGTTGTTACCCAAGGTAAAAGAGGCAGCAGTTGTACCCGTCAGTTAGCGGTATCTTGTTTGCACAGACAACACACCGCTTGAAAGGCCCGGGGGGACCGGATAGGAGGGGGAAACAGTTGTAGGCGGGCAAGGGGAGGAAATGTAAAACACGGGTAGAGAAAAATTGGAAAGAACTCGCAGGGGGAAACATCAAATAAAGAAAATGATTGTAGAAATAATGATTGAAAAGGAATATACAATTCGATATAATACTCCATCTTTCCAAACAGGTCTGTTCAACACAACGGAAAAAAAGGAACTGAGGGGACTTCTGGTGGGCAGAGCATGCGCTCCATGTGGGAATGTCCCACTAATCATGTGTCTTTAAGCTCTAGAAACTTCCGAGAGATTCAGCACAGGCACAGAACAACCCAATTGTGTGCATTCACAGAGGCCACGAAGAAGAAGTGATAGTATTTAGCAAACTCAAGGCCTTAATATCTCATTATCTGTTGCCAGTTATTACCATTTTAAATAAGAAAACTGAAAGGTGGTGTTAAAATTATACAAACTTAATGTAAAGAAAATGGGATCCAAACTCTGGGTAAGAATCAAGGCTACAGCCTAATGTACATGTAATTAAGGGAATATTATAACAAGGTATGAAACATATACTGCAGGACACAGAGGATTGCTGCCTATACCACTGGAGGGTTTCATAATTGATGTTCTAATATTTTTTAATTTTCGACAAATGCCAGGCATGTCCATTTAAGCTTCCTCCCCCAACAGCTCTATAGTTCTTGATAAGCTCTGTACACACTATAGTGCAGAAAGCTCTTAGGTCTATTTTCCACTTAGAGATTCAACTGATCACACTAGGCTAAAATAGCAGCACTTGATGTATACAGCACTTGAACAGCCTAATGAATATCCATAAATCAAAGATCTGAATTCAACTAGTGGTCCTAGTTAAGAGTACACTACCAAACTGCCAATATTTATACAAATCTTGATTCTTATTTGCCTTGGATTCAATAGGTCTACTCTGGTTGGTCTAGCATTTGGAAGTATCCCAAAATACTCAGCTGGCCAAGGTTTTAAAATCATCAGGGAAAGCCTCTCTCCCTGCCCTGCCACCCTCACAAGACATAGCCTTCTTTGTCACTGCTCTGAAGCTGTGGAAGCTCCTTCCATGGGAGGCCAGATTGGCCCTCTCTTTGCTGTCCTTATGCAGACAGCAAGCTTCCCTCCAAGCCTCATGTCCCTGCCTCCCTCCATACAGCTTCCTTCCTCCTCCATGCAGCGATTGCATGCAACCCCTTAGGTTCCGGTTGCAACGGAACCTTGCGCACCAGGGGAGCAGGGCGGGAAGGATCGTGCACAACCCCACCCAGCAAGGCTGAAAATTAGAGGGTATGTTGTCAGTCAGGCAAAGATTTTTTTTCTCTTGAGGCAGGTTTTTTCTTAATGATTTTGAGTTTGGCTGCTCTTTTATTGTTGTTGTTGTTGTTTGCTTTGTTCATTGTCCCCATCCCCTTCCAGTTTTTATACAGTTTGTTTCTAACATTATAAGCCACCTTGGTTTTTGAGGGAAAAGGTGGGATATGAATATTTTCAGCAAACAAATAAGTAAATACTTCCTTTTTATATCTGCTCACAAGAGTGAATGGAGTGTTGCTTCAAGAGAAAAAGGTAATTACTGACTGCACAGATCCTATAATGAGAGATTAATCTTCTGTATTCAGCTGAGCTTATTCTCAGGTAAGTAGGCACAGAACTGCAACCTGCTTTAAATTTACAAAGAAAAACATGGATAGTCTTGGAAACACTGGAGAAGATGCAAGCATGGACAGAATTTATGCATGCAATATACAGAGAGCACTTGTGTTGTGAAGAAAGGAATGTTTTTACTGCTGTTGTTGAATATACTGCTTCTTTATGAGCATTTTGCTTGAAGAGTTGAATACATTTCATTTCACTAGCAAATGAAAGAATACAAAGGAAACTGTGTTTTTTATTTCATCTGCAAATGCAGGCTAATTATCTTCAAGCTAAAGCTACCATCTTAATACTTCTGCAAAAGAATGTCCTGGAAGTTGTTTTTATAACATTATGAATCAAAATCAAAAACAACACAAGGTGGCTACTACACAAACATAATGGTTTATTTCACAGCAAAGATTCTGCATATCCATCTTGAGAAAATGCATCTCTTCCCTGCCAAGGAAACCTGTGTAATCCTGATGTTGGCACATCCATGAAGAGCATGCCTTAAAACAGACCGGCAACCTGTGGCCTGCCATTTTACCATCTGTCATCATTAAAAAGCAAAGCGTGCTGCTTATATACCGCCCCATAGCGCTTCAAGCACTCTCTGGGCGGTTTACAAGTTAATTATGCAGGCTACACATTGCCCCCCCCAGCAAGCTGGGTACTCATTTTACCGACCTCGGAAGGATAAGGATCATTAGTTATGATATTTTAGAGTTATAGCCAAGCAACGTCTGGGTGACCATAACTTATTCACCATGCCTTAAGATTTAAAAAGAAAAAGACTAGAAAGTTCAACTCACTACGAGTACAATTCCCTCTAACAACTGTATTTAATTGGTTTTACACATTTATTCCTTATTCCTCCTTATTCCTCCTGGACTCAAGGCAACCATACTTAAAAACAGATTAAAAAAATCTTTACTACAAAAGGCTTGTCTGAAGAAATTTTACTTTAAACATACTGAGTTTATTTTGCTACTTTTAAGAGGATGGTAAAGCACTTGATGCACAGAGAAAATATATATGTCTCTACTGGGCCTGGTGTTGAATGCACTAATATTAATTCAATTCATATTTGAGCTTTTAGAATAGTTTTAAGTATTAAGGAATGTGTATGTATTAATTTTCTGTTTTTTTCTTATGTTTTGGATATTGTAGTTATACTAATTAATTTTAAAAAAATTAAATGAATCCATGGCAGACACACCAGGCTTCCTAGTTCTCTGCAAATAATTCCTGTGACATTGGAAGCAAGAATACAGCACACAGAGTAGTGCAGTAAGTATTTTTATGTGTTAAAGGAAAATGTGCTAGGTGCACAAACAGTCTAAATGGCAGGCTTTGTTCAAGTAAATTTGCGTTGTGTATCAAGGCCATGTAGAGCCCTGAAACACAATATGGAAGCAGAATACAAAACCTTTGGCTTTACAGCCACATGCCGTTTGCACAGCAAAACTGTTCTCTACCAAGAGTGAAGGACAAGATTTTAATTTGGCCTTCTATATACATATAAATATACATATAATATCAGTTACTTAAAGGCTAAAGCTACAATCCTGTGTCTGCACATTTGGAAATAAGCTCAACTGAACAAAGCAGGACTTACTTCCAAGTAAATATGTACATGATTCACCTGACATAAATGTCCAAAATTTTGTAAACACAAAGGATGATAGCAAATAAGGCAGCAGTGTTGGTCCTCGGAAAGATGGAAAGTAAATGTCCACGTGTTCTGGGAAAGTTTGTGTGTATGTGTATTTATGCATATGGTCTGAAAACAGAATTGAATGGCATGAGAAAGAAATAGAGTCATGCATATGAAATCCATGGATAACCCTGGTGGTGTACATGATAGCATTTCCTGGATCTGCATTCTTACCATGACCATGGTGACATTTGCAGTAATCCACAACATTTTGCTACTGTAACACCTTAACCGCAGAAGTCAGCAATTTTCCCCCAACCTCCCAAATCTCTCACACAAAACAATGTATTCAGATAGTATTTTAAGACCTGTAGGAGACAGATATGTTTGTATGCAATTCAGAATCATGGTGCTTCTTAAACAAGTTCATTTTCAGATATATTTTTAATAACTGATTTTCTTTAAAATGCATTAAAAAGAATTACAAATTTTTAATTTCTCTTTTAAACCTCTACTCAGAAATATTTCTCTATAGCAGTTGTTATATATTTTGATACAGGTAAAACATCATAGACTGAACTCCTGAAATGGTTCGACCATCTGCTCTCTCCTTTTGCCTATTGCAGCAGTTCAAACAGTGCAGCATTTTGAGGAAGGGGAGTGATATACAGGACAGCTCAGATTTTGCCACCTTAAGAACTGTTTACCAAGGGTAGCTCCATCTGGGTTAAGATAGGTCAAAGAGCCCACTGTATTTATACTCTTACAGCTTCAAAAAGAAAAGGGAAGTTAAATCCATATGTAGAAGCATTTGTAGAATATTTTACATTTCCTTACTATGTATTTTATAACATGTTGAGATGATGCATCACATATTGAATATGCAAAGTAACACACAAATTTTAAATGGTTATCCTTATTCTGGAAGTTAGATGAAAAGGCATGTGGAAACTGATTGTTAAGCATGATTCATGAACAAACATGCAGTTTATTCTCCCAAGTTCTGCAGCAAATTTCACCGTATTTTCCCGTATGTAAGACACCCCCATGTATAAGATGCCCCCTCCACTTTTCTAACCCAAAATAAAAAAATATAAACAGCTTTGAGTATTCAACCTCTGGGCTCAGAATGCTCAGACATTACGAGTCCTTGTTGCATCTGAGCCTACAGGCACCACCTCCAACGAGGTGTGTTCCAACTGGTTTGTACAGCATCAGCTGACATCAGTTACATAAGGCTCATGATTGGATGAAGCTAAGTCTCCGGACTGTAGGAAGCTAAGCCTCCTGACTGGAGGCAGCCTGTTTGCAGAGGCACGATATGTCCATTTTGTTCTCTCCTTGGCTTACTTCTGTGTATAAGATTACCCTCAATTTTTAGACTAAAGATTTTAGACAGAAGTATTGTCTTATACTCTCTGTCGGAGCTGGCAGATTTTGTCTCTGTGGCGCTGTTGAGGTCCCCTAGACTATTGGTTCTCGGGGACATTAACATTCACACGGAGGTTGAGGTTTCCAGCCCAGCTCATGAGTTACTGGAAATCATGGCTTCCTTGGACTTGACCCAGTAAGCCAATGGTTCTACCCATGTAGGCCGCCATATACTGAATCTCGTCTTTGCTGCCAAGCAGAGAGAGTGTGCTCTGATGGTGGCCGACTTGGTATCAGTCCCTTTGTCATGGTCGGATCACTACCTAATTAAATGCAGCCTCCCAGTGGCACTTCCCTCCCACTGGGAGCTTGGACCCATTAAAATGGTATGCCCCTGCAGGTTACTGGATCCTGATGGATTCCAAGATACCATGCGGGGTATTCCGACTGACTTGGTTGGCGCTCCTGTCAATGCTCTGGTGGATGGCTGGTATACTGCCGCCACCAGGGGGGTCGACATGATCAAGCCTAACCAGCAGCTGAGGGCCACGAAGCATAATCAGAGAAGGCTAGAGAGCATTTG